AGGGAGAGGAAGAGAGAGAGAGAGAGAGAGAGAAAGAATATCTTCCCATCCACTGCTTCAACTCCCCAAATGTCTGAAACGGCCGGGGCTGGACCAGGTTGAAGCCAGGAGCCAGGAGCTGCATCTGGGCCTCCCACGTGGGTGCAGGGGCCCAAGCCCTTGTGCCATCTGTTGCTTTCCGAGGCACAATAGCAGGGAGCAGCCAAGACTCGAACCAGTGTCCACATGGGATGCCAGCATCACAGGCAGCAGCCTACCCTGTCATGTCACCACACCAGCCCAGAAAGCCATGACATTTAATCGAGAAAGAATCTCTCTAAGAACAGAGCCAACACCAAGAAGGGCTGAGAGGTGGGAGATGCTGAGACAGACAGCCCACTGCTATCAGGCGGGGTTGGGCCGGGCCAAAGACAGCAGTCCAAAGCCCAGACCAGGTCTCCCATGTAGGTGGCAGGGACTCAGCTACTGAGCCGTCACCTGCTTCCTCCCAGGGTGCACACTGGCAGGCAGCTGGAGTGGTGGGCAGAGGCAGGGCTCAAATGTAGGCGCTCTGGTGTGGGGTGTGGATGTCCTAAGCCAGTGCTCTGGGCCTCTTTATCAGGGCACCAATGCCATTCCTGATCCCCTGAGGGCCCCACCTCCAAACATCATCCCACGGTGTGTTCGGTTGAATCTAGCCATCGAGACCATAGCAGTCCCATGTGACAAGCCCACGTGGGTAGCTACGGATGCTGCTCCATGTCCCAGGAGTAAGGAGAGCGTGGCCAGTCACACACTGGCTGTTCAAGTGACAGTCACTTCCACTCACCTTGCCAACCCAGGTCGTGCTGCTACACGCACATTTAAGGAGGGATGGGCTTCCAGTGTGTGTCCCAGATGGGTGGCTGAGTGCATGGGGACAAGACCGCTCCACCAGAGGACCAGAGTGGAGGTGAGAGGGGGGAGGGCATGGAGAGGGAAGCAGTGCCCCACTCCTGGGTGGGACATCCTCGTGGCCCCTTGCCACAACAGGAAGGGGACAACGGAGTCGGCGGGCAGCAGGAGCCTTGCCAGGTTTCAGGAGGCCAGACCCGTGTTCAAGGTGGCAGCAGGTGGTGATAGGGGCTGGAGGGAAGGGGGCACAGTGGGGAAGCCGGGCGGAAGCTGCTGCGGGAGTTTCCCTGCTCACCTGCTACAAACATTTGCCAAGTCCACGTTCAGCGTGTCTGTCCCCAGTCAAACACACGTCCACCTAGAATTCCAAGTTAGAACCGAATTTAGGAGGTGGGGGCTTGGGGTCACGCTGGATTAGGATGGGTCCTCCAGGTGACATCTCGGGCATCCTTATCAGAAGAGGAGAGGGCTCATGGAGGGACACAGGAGGACAGAGGTCTCTAGAGACTGGAGGGACGCCAGGCACGGCCAACAAGCGCCAGGGGCTGGAGGAGGAGGGAACCACTTCTCCACCCCGGCTCCCACCTGGACCTTTGTTGGTGTCTGGCCTCCTGACCTGGGCAGGAATGTGTTTCTGGTGACACCCAGACACCCAGGTAGTGGGGATTCGTCACTGCAGTTCTAGGAAAACACGCCAACCAGGAGCTGGAGGAAGCTGATTTTCGGGGGCCAAAGCTTGTGCACCCCTTCATTCCCACTCAGTGAAAGGCTTGTTCCGCACACCGGCACAGCCTAGTTACTCTCATTTGCAACTGCTTCCTTCCCCAGTCTTTTCCACGTTTGTAGCTGGGTGTTCCAGGCCAGGCAAGCTCGCGGAGAGCTGGGGTGATCTGTAACACATCCTGAGCCTCAGAGCGAGGTCTCTCCACAAGGGGTCAGGCAGCAAGTAAAAGAATCTCCCCTGTGCCTGCAGCACGACTGGGCAGAGCGAGGAGGGCTCAGAGAAACATTTGCATCTGCTGTGCACGGGGATGCCTTGTGGACGGAGCAGGGAGGGGTGGGCCGCGACCAGGATGGTGTGGACTGGCGTCTTATCCAGAGCCTTCTCTGCTCCAGGCACTGTTGTCAGCTCCTTCCAGGCATCACTAACGCACATGTATCACTGGCAATGACCTCTGTTGGAGGGAGACGGGTGTGGAGGACAATGCTAAGATGCAAATGATTCCCAAAGAAAGAGATCGAAACTTGGCTTCTGGGGAGGGAACAAAGGCTGCTGTTTTTCCCAAACTGTGGGACCAGGTCCAAGAGGAACCAGAAGAGGAGATGAGGAAGTGGGCACCATTTGTGCAGGGCGAGTTTTGAGAAGCCTGGGGAGGAAGGAGTGAGGCGGCCTGGGCCAGGGCTTGGGATCCAGAGACGCCTCATTTAGCGAGGGTCCCTGACCAAGGGAATATGCAGATGGACATATTGACTGGAATGACTCACACTAGAGAGACGGGTGGATGCTGGGGAGAGGGAACCCTGAGGGAGCCCCCTACCGGATCTGGGGAGAGACACTGGCCGTTCAGGTGGGAACAGAGTTTGGGGATGCAGCAGTGGGCTCACTGCCAGGGCAGGTGTGGGAAGACCCCAGCTTTTCTCGCTCACTTCCCCCACGCACACGGAGGGGTGGGAATTGGCCTGAGGTCCCAAGAACCCACAGGCTCCAAGGAGGGTTGGGAATAGATAATTCATTTAAATTATATTATAATAATTCTAGCATGAACTTGAAGGTGTTGACAAATAGAAATTTCCAGCGAACTGGAGTTCAGAAAATCCAGTCTCTTCCCGTGATGGATTTACAGCACCTGTGCCTTCGCTAAGCAAATCGAATTCTGCTGCTGACCAGTGAGAAGGAGAAAGCATCCCATCAGCTCCAAGCGACGGCAGCCGGTTCAGCTCCGAGAGCCTTTGATTCCTCCCTCGGCGAGGGCTAGGGCTGCGGAGGGGCCGGCAGCTCTCTGTTCTAGGGGGTGACGCCGCCACGGAGGGAGCACCCTCTTCCTGTGTGCGTGCACACAGGTTGTGACGGTGAGTGAAACAGGAGACAGCGCCTCATCCAGACACCTTTCCCAAGGTGGGCAGGGCTGGCCTTGGAACGGAAGCCTCTGCTGGGGACAGTTCCCCTCCACCGTCCCCATCCTCCCTGCCCGTGTCACACTCTTCCACCCCTCCCCTTCCAGAAGGTTGGGCTTCCTAAACACAAAACCCACCTTCCACCGCGAAAGGTCATCACAGCTTTGAGCTACAGCTCTGGGCGGCTCTGTGTGCCCAGGTCCCCAGCCTGGAGGAGAGCCAGGGCTGCTGGAGGGACCGGGTTCACAGCTCAGCAGGGAGTGGGGTGGGGAAGCGGCACCTGAGTTTGCCTGGGAACTGGCCCTGGGCTCAGTGGCAGATTATAAGCTGGGCAGGCGGCTCCAGGACCGGGGACCAGCACAGGGCTGAGCTGTGCCTTGGGGCCTGAAGGAAGACTTCCTCAAAGGGACAGGAAGTGGCCTCTCCTGGCAAGCAGCCCTTCTCCAACCCACACACTAGGGCTTCCACTGGAGCAGCTGCTGTACTTCTGAACTTGACACTATCTTTGGCATGTAGCAAAGCAGAGGTGCTCAATATACCTTCGTTGAAAGCCAAAACAGAAGTCACCGCGGGGAAATGAAGGGGTGGAAGAAAATTGTCACCCAGCCTGTCGGGTCTGGGAGTGTCTTTGGACAATAGGACGGTGCCCGAGGTTGCCAACTCTGTGTTCATCCCCACGTCCTCAAATCTAGAACGGAGCCTGGAGGTAGCAGGCGCTCATCAGGATTACGGAGCAAATGGACTTGGCTCATCTCGCTGTACGGATGGGGAGACTGAGGCCCAGGGCTCTTCTCTACAGAGACCAGCTCATAGCAGCAGCTCAATAAAGACTTGTGGGAGCCAGCACAAGTTAGTGTCAGGGCCCTCGGAGGTCAGCTTTGGGGCAAGTTTGGGCTTGAGGGGTTGGGGAGGGGAGAGTTTGTCTTGGGGTCTAGCCCTGGGCTCAGTGGCAGATTCAAGCTGCCACTGGGTGGCTGGCCTGGGGACAGGACCCTGCTGAGCTGTGAGTGCAGCCGCAGCCCGCAACATATCAGAAACCACTGGGGAGCTTTTAAGGAACCCCAAAGTCTCCTCTCTCCTGCTCTCTTGAGATTCTGATTATCCGGGCTGGGCCCTGGCATCCACCTTTGTTAAAAAGAGAAACACAAAAGCTCCTCTGGGGCCGAGAAATGGCTGCTGTCGGGCCGGCGCTGAGGTTGGAAAGGGGTCGAGAACCTCCACGGCTCGCCCCCTCATCCCGCCCTCGACTGGGGCTCAGTTTGTGGGGCAGGGAAGGGAAAGTGAGGGCGAGGGGAGGCGCCGGCCTTGGGGCGGGGGTGGAGGCAGGATTCGCGAGCGCCGAGGCTGCACGGGCGGGCACCCGGTGGTAATCACAGGGAGCCGGCCCAGCGGAAGCGCCTTGGGAAGGCGGCGACTGGGGGCTCTGGAGCCGAGCACTGGGGGAGGTGGGGCGAGTCGCCCGGAGGGGCGCCAGGGCGTGGCGCCGCGCGGTTCTTAGAAGGAGCTGTGAGGCAGGGATGGGGGCCAGCGGGGACGCACGTGCACACGCGTGAACGCCCACGCGCGCGCGCGCGCACACACACACACTCGCTCGCCAACGCACCCCCGGCCCTCGGGACGCAGGTCGCGCGGCAGGCAGAGCCGAACCGCGGCCCGGGTCACCGCTCGCTCCCTGCCCCCCGCCGCCGCCGCGCCCCGACCGAGGCTTGCGCAACAGGCGGCGGTCCGGGCGGGCGCCCGCCGAGCGCTGCCCCGGTGCGGCCCGGCGCGCCCGGGTGGAGGGAGCGGGAAGGGGTGTGTCCCCCCGGCGTGCGGCCCGGGAGGCCGGGGCGGGGCGCGCGCGGAGGCGGGGCCGCGGCGCCTATAAAGCCGCCCTCGGCCGGGACATAAACAAACCGCGCCTGGCTGCCGGCTCGCGCCCGCGGGTGCACACCCATCCTCGCCGCTCCGCTCGCCTCCCGCTGGACGCCTGGGCACCGCGCCTTTCCTTTCTCCCTCTGCCGTAGGTAAGCCCGTCGCGCTCCTCGTCCCGGGCCCCGCGGGGGAGCAGACAGGGGCGCTGTGGCGGCGCCCGAGCCGCCCTTTGTGGCTCCGTGGGTTCCAAGAGCCAGCGCCCCGGAGCTCCCCGCGCGCGGCCACCCACCCAGGGCGCGGGCGCGAGGGGACTCTGGGGACTGGGCTTCGATGAGGGGACAAGGGCGTGGGGAGCCATCCCAGTTCGCCTTCGTCCTGGCTGGGGATATGGGCGTCCGCGGGTCTGGAAGGAGGCGGGAGCCAGCCTGGGAACACCTGGATGGCGCTTCCTGGCGGCCTCTCCCGGTCGCGGCTGGCGGCGCTGGCCGGGGCGCAGGAGCTAGGTGGAGAGAAAGAGGCACAGAGCCCACGGAGCGAGAGGTTGCGCGCGCGGGTGTGGGTGGGTTGGATAGGGGTGAGCGGCTCCTGGGTGTGTGGCTGCCCAGGCTGGGCCCCGATGGGTGTGGATGCGAGGGGCGGGTGCCGACGCAGCCCCGAGACCGGGGTCCTGTGTGTGTGTGTGTGTGTGTGTGTGTGTGTGTGTGTGTTGGGGGAGGGTCCGGGGTGTGTCGCGGCGCGTGCGACGCGCGCGGGAGCCAATGTCCGCGGGCACCGCCAAGCAGCGTGCGCCCCCCGAGGTGGCCCGGGGTTGGTGCTGTGCAGCGCAGGGGAGGTGGCCGGGGTGCCGAGGGTCTCGCGGGCGTCTGGCGGCCCCCTGCGCTGGCCGTAGCAATGCGTGGCGTCATTTTCGCCTCCGCCCACCCTCCCCCGCTTTCCTTCCTTGGCTGTCTCTGGGCCCGGCCTCTCCTGCCCTCCCTAGGGGGAGAACAGCTGGAGTTGCTCGGCCATTCCCGGGAGATGCGCTGCTTCGGCCTCGCGGAAGACTTTGGGGCAGGACGAGGGGCCGCGCGGCGAGCTCGGGGGGACGTGCTGCCTGCGCCTCTGTCCTGTGAGGAGCCAAAGCTAGGAATTCGGGGGGTCGCGGCCTCACCCCACGGCCCCACTCCGCCTACAGAGCCCACTCCCTCAGAGCAGCACCCCTCCTGGCTGGAACTGGGAGGAGGCGCCCAGCAGCAGGTGGGGGAGGGAGGGCCGCCTTATTTGGGGCCCGGGAGCACCCCCTTTCTAACAGATGACCCGGGCACTTAAGAGCGGCTCCGTTAAGCTACTGGAGAAGAGCAAAGCTTGCGAGGTCAGCCAATGGCCATGTCGGAGGAATTTGGACAACCATCCAATGCCCCTTCGCGCGCTTGTCCTCCCGAGAGCCTCCAGTAAACATGCTATCTACATGCAAACCCCAGGCTTGCTAGGAAAATGCAGTTCCGACAGACCCAACCCAGCTCCCCATATAGACTCCCAGTCTTTACTGAGTGCCACAAGTGGGCACTGAAGAAAGCCAGGTGCCCAGAGGCAGGGCCCCAGCGCCTGCCTGCCAGGGGCTGCTGCTGGCTGTTGGGGAGACCGTGCGGGTGCAAAGGTGGGCGGTTTGTGCTGTGGCTGGTGGTGGTGGGGGGTGTCGGGAAGGACAGAGTGGGGGAGGGACGGCTGTGAGTGGTGGAAAGCCTCAGGAGTGGTGCTCGGGTGTGGGTGTAAGGAGCGCCCCCTGCGGTGTCCCCCAACCTGTGACTTCTTAGCCATGCGGGACCTTGTTTCCCGCTACAAGGTGGGCTGCACAGGGGTGGGGGCTGTGCCTGCCTCGCCCTGCAACTTGTCACCCGGCCCAGGGCCTGGCACGCAGAGGACACTTTCACAGGGCCAACCGAATGCTTCTGCCTCCTGTGACCCAGCAGGTGGAGTCCCGAGGAGGGAGCCGCCCTTGGCAGGTGGAGGTGTGGGGTTGGGCTCTCCAGGGAGCTTGGCACGTGCCTTGGGGTCTTGCCCTCCCGAGGTCGTCTCCTTGAAGCCACAGGCACACCCAGGACTGCCGACTGTTGGCTTGGTTGCTTGGCATGGAACAGAATATCCACACGGGTGCTAGTCCAGTCCAACCTCTTTGCATCTTCCAGGTGGAGGGAGGGTTGTGCCCAGTCCTGGTGGGAACCGGAGCTCCCCCGGGAGTCTGTGGTCTGGGCAGAGGCCGTGTAAGGGGTTCCAGACTCCATTTGGGCCCGTCTGCTTCTGAGGGGCAAACTAGTGTCTTGTAAGGAAACTTCGGAGGCAGAAGGTGAGTTTTTGTTTTTTCTTTTAAGTTTATATCAGGTATTTAGAGATGAGCAAAATCAGGCCCCAGGGGAAGAGACCCAGGGTCTCAGCCCCTGGCAGGGGGCCTTTCGCTGGATGGGGGCTGCCAGGTCCAGGTGATGGATGGCAGGCTCTGCCCCACCCCCTTCCCAGGGAGCATTGAAACCGCTGGCCTGAACTTGCCCCAGCGTGGACCGGAGAGAAAGCTGCCATTGTGTTTGCTGGTGTTTTCTTCCTTGGGACTCAACTCCAGAGAATCCTGTCCAAGGCTTGACTCAAAGGCCCTGGCCTGGGAAAGAGAGCCAACGTGATGACTCAGCATCTGAGACCCCAGCAGGGAGCAGTCTGACTCAGCAGGGAACAGGCTGGGCTCAGGCCTGGAAGCTGGAGGGAAGACCCGAGGGTCAGGGTCAGACACCCCCCCACCCCCCGCCAGTTTCTCCAGGTCACCTGCTGCCTCCTCCATCCCATTCAGAACTTGTGGGAGCTCTGCCTGGACTGTGTGACCCCACTGAATGGGTGAGGAAGCCGAGGCTGGCCGGCTTGAGGGCTTGTCTGTAGCCACATGGCTGCAAGCAAGAGAGCCGGATTTTGAGCCCAGAGTGAGAGGCTCACAGCCTTGGTGCATTTCCGGGACCGCATGCTGTGGTGTGAGGGGGGGAGTCAGACCAGAACCGGAGAGAGCAGAGAACGCTGTACCTCAGTTTCTTCTGTAAACTGAGAATACCAGGTGCATCTCATCAGGACGAAGACAGGAGGGCACTGGAGAAAGTTGGAGGGAGCTGGAATTAAAGATGCTTATGTTGATGGTGCATGGATGTTTATATCCATGCCTATGGGGGTCTTCAAAAAATTCGTGGAAAATGCATATTATGGGGGCTGGTGCTGTGGCATAGTGGGTAAAGTCTCCGCCTGCAGTGCCAGCATCCTATATGGGCACCGGTTTGCATCCTGGCTGCTCCTCTTCCTATCCAGCTCACTGCTGTGGCCTGGGAAAGCAGTAGAAGATGGCCCAAGTCCTTGGGTCCCTGCACCCACATGAGAGACCTGGAGGAGGCTCCTGGCTCCTGGCTTCGGATTGGTCCCGCTCTGGCCATTGCGGCCATCTGGGGAGTGAACCAGTGGATGGAAGACTTCTCTCTGTGTCTCTGCCTCTGCCTCTCTGTAACTCTGCCTTTCAAATAAATAAATAAATCCTAAAAAATGCATATTATGACATACTGCTTGGATTTCAGAATTTTTTGAACCAAATGAACTTAATTTTTTGAAGATTTATTTATTTTTAGAGATTTATTTTTAAAGTTATTTACTTATTTGAAAGAGTTACAGAGAGAGGAGGAGAGAGAGACACATACACACACAGAGAGAGAGAGAAAGAGAGAGAGAGAGAGAGAGAGAGAGAGATCTTCCATCTGCTGGTTCACTCCCCAGATGGCGGTAACAGCTGGGGCTGAGCCAGGCTAAAGCTAAGAGCCAGGAGCTTCATCCCACCTGGGTGCAGAGGCCCAAACACTTGGGCCATCTTCTGCTTTCTGCAAGCCGTCAGCAGGGAGCTGGATCGGAAGTGGAGCAGCCAGGACACGAACCGGTGCCCACGTAGGATGCCGGCGTTGCAGGCAGCGGCTTCTCCTTGGGTTCCATTTTCCTGTGAACTTTGGGAGCTGTTAGTCCATGTGAATGAGAACAGGTTCTAGCACGCGCGATGCCCCATGGAGGTGTTTGTCTCCCAACACCCACATAGAAACACTCACTAGGCGTCTCAGGGCCTTTTGTCCTCAACCTTCCGGGCCTGTGAAGAGTGCCTGCTTGCGAATGCTGGACCCAGGGTTGGTTTTTCGAGATTCTTCCAAAAAGCCAAGCTTACCCCAGAGGCACCCAGAGCCGAGCCCTCTCCTCTGGACTGACTGGGGATGGGGACAGGAGGGAGGAGGCGGTGGCCATGTCAGCTGTACTTCCTAGGGCTACCCTCTCTCCAGGGTTGGTGGCTTTGATGAATATCTTGTGTCAGGCCAGTGTGCCCTGTGGCTCAGCGCCTCACCTCATCTGTTGAGGTAGGAGACATTCTTCCCACTTCTCAGCCCGACCAGGCCAGGGCACACACCTGCCCCGGTCAGCGTGAGCGCGTTGGCCCCGCCTGTTCAAGCGCCAGCAATGCCCTTTCTGCCCTCCCCTTCCTCCTCTGGGCCTGCCCCTCAGAGTGAACTGGGCTGTCCCTGTTCATGTCAGGTGGCCTCCTTGGCCATGTGCACCTGCTTTTCTGCTCGCTCTTTCTCTTCAAACGCGGGCATCCAGCCGGCCTGGAGGGTGCTGGCCTAGGCTGGTTGGGAAGGGAGGGGTTCTGTAGAGGAGGTGGAGGCTGCCGAGACACAGGGCCCCCACTGATGTCTGCGTGGAGCGCAGTGGAGCCCCCCACGCTGGGCCCCGTGCACGGAGGAGGAGCGGACCGTGGAGTCGGGTCCACCAACGGTGGTTTTCTTTCTACCCAGAGTCCTTGACTCTCCCTTCCAACCTTTGCAGAGCTGCCCTTTGTCCCCAGGGCCCTTCGAATCCCTGCTGGGTCCCTCCTAAGGTGGGGCCCCTGACAGCCTGGGGCCGAGCACCCTGCTGCACTGTCTCACAGGTCGTCCGCTCCTGCACCCACACGGAGCCTTGTACAAGCTCGCCTGTTAACTGCCCACAGAGAGCTCTGCTTCGAGGGAGCTGTCCATCCACCCCCATCTCCCCTCCCGCTGGCTTCCAGAAGCTTCTGAGCAGCCCTCCCTGGACGGGGCTGCTGCGGGGTTCTTAACAGAGAGGGGCCCTTCGTCCCCCTTCTCCTGCTGCCTGCAGGGTGCCCCCCTTTTCCTACTGCCTGAGTCTGGGCTGGGCCCCCACCGCGGTCTGCGTGCTGTCCCTGGTTCCCCCGAGGCTGGCTAACGCGGGCTCCCACCTGTGTGATTTCAACCAACGATTTGAGCATCTGGCCTGCAGAGTCAGACCCATCCTCCCACGCGAGCGCCCCCCACCCTCCTGGGACTTGTCTTGTCCCCTCCCTGTGGACGCTTGCCAAGCCCCAAGGAGAATCTGCAGAAAGATCCGACCCCTTGTACCACGGAGAATGGGGGGTGGGGGTGGGGGTGATGAGGGATTCCTGACACCTCCCTCTCCGCCCCTCTCCCTGACCCCCTGACCTTTGGGGCTTCGCTCAAGTTGGATACAGGCAGACTGAGCCCCAGCCTCCCCCCCCCCCGCCCCCGGGGAGGAAGGCAGCCCTGGCAGAGTGGAGTGAGCGAGGGTGGTTCCGTTTCTCTCTGAACGTCTGGTCCTGAGTGGTGGGCTCCAGGCAACGATGGGACCCCGAAGGCATTCCTGGTGGGGGTGTCCCCTCCACGCCATCGTGGCACTGTTCTACTGATCATGATCGCTCTGAGGCTTTGAGAACCCTCTTGTCGACTTCCTGTCCCTGGCAGAGGCGGGGGAGGGGTGGACTTGCTGGCTGTTCCGGAAAGCCCCCCTGTTGGTTGCATAAGAGAAACACTGGGCCTGGAGCGGCTCCCTCACTGTCCCCGGAGCCTTCCGAACCCCTGGTAGTCAAACCTGCCCAGCAAAAGGAGACTAAAGCAGGTGTCCACAGCAGGGGCACGGGGTCTCCAGGGCAGCCCCTCGGCGACTTTCCTCCGGTTCAGGTGGAGCAGGACTTTCTGGAACCTTCTATGGGTTGTTGTGCTCGGGAGAGTTGCCCGGCCACACAGCAGCAGTGCACATTGATTTCTTTTTTTTTTTTTTTCCTCTCCTTCAAAACTGCTCTATAAAGAGCCAGTGTGCTGGAAAGAACACCAGCTTTCATGTGGCTTCGAAACCAGACGTGTCGTGCAGGGGGCGAAATCTGGGCCAGTTGTGACGACCATGGTCGATGCTAAACTTGTCAACAACCCGTGCTGGCCAGCCCCCCCCCCCCCCCCTCGCTGCTGCTCTTTCCTGCCTTCCCTGAACCCCACACCTGTCCCCACAGCCAAGGAGGGAGCTGCATGCCCTTGCCTCTCTGCCAGGAGGAAGTCGGGGCGGGGTAGGGGTGTGGCTGTAACCTGGGCACAGGCACGCCCACCCTCGCCCAGGGAGCTCTTTGAGGGGCAGATGAAGCTGCCTCAAGGCGCTGCACCTGCCGGGTCAGGAGGGCACTGGGGGAAGGAGACCCTTGTGGGTGTCGTGCGGGGGGAAGTAGACCAGTCTGAGCTGCTCTTGGTGGCTCCGTGGTGACTATAGGGTGGAACATGTGACTGCTGCAGCTGCCCTGCACCCCCTCACAGTGTCCCAGCCACATGCGGGCCACCTGCAGAACCTTGTACCTGGACAGGGGGTGCAGGTGAGCTCCCTGTGTTTAGGGTGACGTCACTGTTGGCTTTGCCTTGCACGATGCCTGCGGATGTGGGGCACGTGGTGCAAGTGCTCCGTGCCTCCGTTTTCCTGTCTGTTCAGTGGTGCCTTCCTGCTGGTGCTGCGTGAAGGGGTCCGGGGCCTTGCAGGTGGAGAGCTGAGGCCCAGAAATGTATTGGCTTGCTCAGAGTCACATAGCAAGAAGGTGGCGTGCCTGGGGCCCTCCAGCCGGTGCTCCGGCTGCCCACCGAGGCCTCGGGAGAGGCTGAGGCTCTGTGTGTCCTCTCGGTGCCCCGGTCACTGGGTAATGACTCGGATGGCCTGAGACGCCCGGGTCGCTGCCCTCCCTGGCCCCGTTGTGTTCTGCCCTTCCCTTGGCTTTGCATGGAGCTCTTGAGGTTCAGGTGATCACCGACTGACTGTCTCCCAGGCTGCTGAACCAGAAAGAAGACTTGCCCGGCCCTCTTGGCCCATGGTTACTCATCCACTGACTGGGCTGATTCAGAGGAGCCCCTGGGGGTGGTGGCTCTCAGGGTCTGAGAGCCAGAAACCTGTGTGGCATTTGCTGCATATCTCCTGTGGGTGTGTCCTCCTTGGGGATACTCACCATGTGTCAAACGCAGGTCGTGTCCTCGCACGTGTCCTGGGAGAGGGAGGGCACTGGTTAGGCAGCAGTTTGCCGGATCCTGTGGGCTGTGACTTGGCTCCCCTGGAGCCGGGAGCCGGGAGCTGGGAGCTGGGGTTATCATGCCCATCTTAGAGCAGATCAAGCCAGCAGGTGGGAACTTGTTCAGGATGCCAGAGCTAAGAAAGGGAGCACCCCCCCCTCTTTTCCTCTGGCTACCCTTCACGTCTCTGACCTTGGCCTTTATGTCTCTTACCTTGGTGGGACAAGTAGCTGAGGGAGAAAGGGTATTAGAAGCCAGGCTCAGAGCTGGTGGAGTGGCCTGGAGCCCTGCTGTTAAGCAGGTTTTAGTAGGAGATGCACCCTGACCTAATTTTCTTTCTAGAGGGGCTTCTTAGGGGGCAAAGGTGACCTGGGAGACGTGGGTCAGCAGGTCATTGGCCGAGGTGCAGCAGGCGGGCTGGGAGTCAGCTCTGCATTGTCCTGCTGTGTGTGGCTGCGCCCAGTCACCTAACCCATCCCCATGGAGCTGTCGCTCTGGCCCTTTCCCGTCCTGGGAACTGACATTATTTATTTATTTGAGAGAGAGTTACAGACAGAGAGGGAAAGGCAGAGAGAGAGGTCTTCCATCCACTGGTTCACTCCCCAGATGGCTACAACGGCCGGAGCTGGGATGATCTGAAGCTGGGAGCCTGGAGCTTCTTTTGGGTCTCCCACGCAGGTGCAGAGGTCCAAGCACTTGGACCATCTTCTGTTGCTTTCCTAGGCCACAGCAGAGAACTGGATTGGAAGAGGAACAGCTGGGATACCAACCAGCACCATATGATATTGATGGCACCACAGTGGGGAGGCTTAGCCTGCTATGCCACAGCGCCGGCCCCGGGACTGACACTCTGTAACTAGGACTTTCTAAGGGCAGTAGTGGGTGCGAAGGCCTGGAGTCCAGGGTGGAGTTCATGCTCAGGGAAAGGCTGGGCCTGGCCTGTTGTACCTGCTGAGTTGAGGCCAGGAGCCTCTGGGTTGCCGGGCAGGGAGGGACTCCAGCATATGATGGGCAGTGGAGGAGGCCACACATCTGGCCAGCTGCATCTTGTGCCAGGATGACCCTTACAAGGACCCTCACGCTGTTGGCAGTGACTGAATCCCAGACAAGAAGCGCTAGGAGGAGATTGCCGGACATGGATGGTGGTGTGTGTATGTGTGTGTGTGTGTGTGTATGTAAGAACGTGG